CCCCCCCCCCCCCCCCAGGATACCAACCAAATTTGAGGAGCCTTAAGGCATGTTTAGTAGCAGCCATGAAAAACCATTCCGCGCGGCCAACGGTATGTATTCATTTATGTTATTTACACTTGTGAGGATAAGCATCCCCGTGTATTTTCACGATGTCATCTGATCGCTTTACAAATGTAACATTGCTCACGGTGTTATCACTGGGCAGAATCGATTCAATGACCTGCAAACGGCATCTTGTTTCCTTGATCAACGAACGATTATTGTACGGTGAACTGTACTGATATGTAAACACTGAGTGTGTATACATATTCGCCTTTATTTAAAAGGCCATTTCCGAGTTGCATTTTACCTCTGTTTCAAAACGAGTCGACCTCGCGCAAAACTTACAGATGGGACGCATTTTCGCCCGAAGACTCGTTTTAACATAAACGCAATGGGGCAACTCGGAAATGGCCTATTCGATTTTTTCCAAGGCGACGATCAATTTGCGACAAAACTGGCAAATCTCAATTAGGACCCGAAGTTTACTTATTATATATGGCTTGCTCCGCGAGCCTACGGTATGAGCGAAGTCTAGCGTTTTGATCGCCTACTCGCGCGATCCGGCAAGATGGAGCTATCATTCTCGCTCGGGACTGCCCGCTCTATCCCGCAAGAAAATGGTGCCCTAATAAATCCTTTAGATTGACCACACCTGTTTGGTCGATATTAATATGGCTGGCTATTGGCCTTAATGTTTTTTGCTCCTTTATGGACCCCCAAGATAGATTTTTCCCAAACTAAGAAAAATGTGAAATTTCGCCTCTTTCAGCTGTAGCTCAAAACCTTAGCTAAACCTAATAGCACGTAGGCATGTCCAATAATATATTCCAGCCAATCGAATGGGCAGGCGTAATAACCTGTTGATAATCATTAGCGGCTGTTTTTAGGAGAATTCCCTAACACAAGCAGCATAAGCCGATAATTGACACGTACAGCATCTTCCTAAGGCCGCCTTCTTGCTTATAAGCTAGTGAAAAACCAGCCTTTGAAATGCGAAGCTGTCTTCTTTAATTTCCAGCTTTATTTACATGTTGCTCATCGAGCGCTATTGTTCATATTGTGAAAGACATTTCACGTTGAATGCTGAAAAAAAAAAAAAAAAACCCGACTAATACTGTAGGTTTTGATCTGCTGAATGAAACACGTAAAGCTGGTTTCTCTCATTTTACCTCGAAACTTTGTGTCTCGCTTAGAAAGCTTCCTCGTTTCATTTGACCTTTGACTTACTTTGTCTTTCCAAACGAAAAGAACTATGAGTCAGCATAATTACCGAAAGCTTGTTACGTGAGCCCCGTGACCTGTGGCAATTTTCTTTTGCTGATCGATATCTCTCGTCCGTGTGCTCTGTCACGTTTCATAAACATCATCATATTTATAAAAACAACAACAACAACGACCTTATTTTAGGGTACGTTGCTACATGTATATTTGGCTGTTTACATGTTAGTAGCATCCTTCAGCCCGTGCAACGCAGGCTAGAGTGACTGTTAGGAAGGGTACATGCAACCCCTCCAAAAAAGGGAAATGAAAATCGAGTTATTTCCTTTACGTTCGATTTACGTCATATTATCCGGCTTCAGACATACAATACAATCAGAACGATAAGACACTTACTGTAAAATGAAATCGAATCCAACTGAAACAACTACGATATATAAAGGCCTTTCTCGATAGTTGCACGTAATAAGTGAAGGGTCTTTCAGGGGCTGACTTCTCCGCGAACACGGAACATCTCTGCCGTCGGAGTCCAATTTTGCCTAATTTTGATTTAGGGGTTTGAATTCTACTGAGGTTAAATGGAGCGAGAATTAAGTAAGGAACGAAAACCTGCGAGTCGCTTGCCGTCGGAGCGATTTCGTCGCTTCGTGTACTTTGTTGCAATTGCGTGCATGATTTCTTGCATCGTAGTTCTGTTTATTTCACTGGTCTCCGTGCAAAGGCGAATGGTTTTAGTAGAAAACACGCTCAGTGAGATTTCTGAAGAAATGAAACAACTCCGGTCCAAGAATGAGGCTAAAGAATCGCCCAGCGCTGTACACGTAAGACATGGGCGAAATGCAAACCCCACAACAACTTTGGCTGACCTTACAAAGAGGATTATCGCACTAGAAAGCAGGTCCTCGTTCCGAGGTAAGAAAACATTTTTTCAGTTTTTGTTTCTATGTTTTGTTTTATTATTTTTGTGTACATAATTAAGTCAAAATTAAAGGGATAGCTCGACCTCCAATGATAGAGCTGTAAATATTGATTGTATGGAATTTCGTTTAGGCCGAGACGGAAGAGATGGCATGCCAGGGCCCCCCGGACCTGCTGGTAATGAACAAACTTTTGTTTACCTCTATTCAGAATAGCCTTCTTTTTTGGTTTGTTTTTGTTTCTTTGCTTTTACATTTGTTTGCATTGACGCAACTTTGAATATTGTATATAACTGTACAAAGGTGATGTGACTCTACCCAGGTACATGCACTCACAGCAGGAGAATCCTGTACGTCACCCCAGTGTTGAATTCTCAATAAACTAAGCAACTCACAGTTTCCCTTTTGGCCAGTCATACCTTCCAACTCAAAAATAAAAATAAAAATAAAAATAAAAGCTGCGAAAAATCGTTTGCTTGATGCCGGCTGTTACACAAATTTTTGTCACCACTTGATCACGAGTCTAAAGTCCAAGGTTCAAGTCGTTGTCTCCTTACGGATCGAGTTAGTGGGTTTTGACCCACGACACGTGACACGTGACACGTATTTGAGTTGGGAGATATATATAAAAAAAAACGTTGCGTTTAGATGTATTTGCTTCAGTCGTTTGCTTTGCACGTCGGAAATACTACTACGTTTAGGAGTGGGGAGGGGTGGGAGGGTTAAGGGGAGGGGACTGATCTCAGTCCTAAGTTTCCTCTCAGGTATCTAAGCTATCAAACAGTGCCTGTCGGACACACTACGACCTGAAGCTAAGCGACCACTCTCGGCTACATGGTATGATTATCATATATAATTATCAGCCGCCTCTTGAAATATAAATATAGTCAGTGCATACTAGTACTATATCAAAAGAAATTAAGCAAATAATCATAATTAATGGTTTTAGCCTCTTGGCTTGTTAGAATATCTGCAATTTACGATTTTCTAGATGGGAGTCAGTCATTACAGTGTAAGATTCGGTGTCTTGTTGCCTCTCGATTGGCTTGAATCTATCGCTATTGTTACAAATTGTCAAATGTGTTCGTCAGTTTGAAATTACAGAGAAGATGTTGAAATTTTCAGGACGGGACGGTAGAGACGGAAGGGAAGGTCCCGCGGGACCTCGAGGCATTACTGGATCAAAAGGTATCTAAAGCTTGCTCTTCTCGTTTCTCTTAGTTTGTAGCATTTACCTACTCTTTGAACAGTCCGCTGCATGCTTTGTTGTTGTTGTTATTGTTGTTTTCTTTTGCGATTGATTTTTCATTCCATCCAAAACCCCTGCCTCCGCTTCGAGGATGTTTGAGTTGCAAGCAAAATAATCAATATTTGCTATTGATTTAGCTTGAGAACCCGACTGGGCAATGCATTGGCCAAGTTCTATTTTGCCAATTTAGTTGCAAAGCCTGCAGCTCGATCCAGAAACTTGCAAAAAATTACGAGACCAATATTGTCCAACTGCCAGACCGAACGTATTCATTAGAAAGTCTCTGCTTAAAAATTACTGTGGCCTAACGATCCGTTCTCGGTAGACGCGCACCGCGTGAGTTGCTTTCGTGAAAGTTATTATGTGAACAAGAATTGTGCGCCAAATGTGAAAATAATAATAATAATAATAATAATAATAATAATAATAATAATAAAAACTACAACAAACTATATTCTTTTACGCAATGTT